CCCCCGACCCCCACCCGCCGCCTCCGGTTAGTTGTCATTCATTCTTTGCTTCGAGTGTTTGGGATAAAGTTTTCAATCAGTGAATCTGCGGGCAGTTTGGTTCATAGGGGATTTTCTGTTAACATTATCTCTAGAGACATGGATGAGTGTGAAGAAGGAGAAATTTTGGACTTCGATGACGAGGTAAGTCCAGCAATTGAAGGTCGGGAACTTGCCCCCCCAAAAAAATTCGTGCATGTAGATAGGTTAAGCACAGACAAAATTGTTTACAGGTCTTAAGAAAACAAATTTATGATTTGTTAGAACTTCCGTCCTTCCGTCGATAACCTCATTTTTGTTTGACTCTCTTGAGCTGGTCCCTGCTAACATTGTTGTTCCTAATTTTATCCTTGGATTCTCATCATTTTAGGAGGAAGTATATAGACCATTGGAGCGCCCCTCTCGCCCTGATCCTACAGTCCAGTTGCAACGACCAAGAATTGTCGAGAGTGAATCTGACGATGTCACTGAAAGTAGTTCAGACTCTGACTCAAGCTCTGGACCACGGTCAGCCAAGAAGCGGAAGGTATTGTACCATAAGAAATCACCATGCAGCTAATTTAATTCACCCTAACTCTATTGTATGCAAGATCCTTTCTCATTACTTTGCAGATGCACCGAGTTAAACCACCTCACCAGTCAAGGCGAGATGGCCCACCTGCTGGTCAAAGTGGTGCAAGAATCAGGAAAAACAATGTCTGGACTGCTGGTATTCAAGAGGAGGCTATTATAAATGACTTGGAAAATATTGATGGACTGCAGAAATTCTCCCGTGAGCGAGGAGTTGAATCTTATGACTTCACATTAAATCAAGAAAGGTTAGTAGCAGCCCTCCTCTCCAATTATTCTCGTAGATGTTGGGTATACTCTTCTCCTTTCTTTTAATTTTTCCAGAATGTCCGAAGATGAAAATGGGAGTAGCAACCACGAAGGTAATCAACAAGATCAACCTGATGCTGCCACAGATGAAATGTCTCTCGACTCAAATATAGATTTAAGATCAAAACTCAGTAACAAGAGAAGGTATGAGGAAAGAGGTCACGTTAAACAGAGACTTGGAAGACGACCAAGTCCCTCTGACTTACCTTCTGACGTAGATGAAAGACTTTTGCAAGAGAAATGTATCGAAGACTTATCTAAATCAGCCGCTGATTCTGTGGAAGAAATAGCTCGTGATATGGCTAAAAAATTACTTGAAACAAAGGAAGAACTTATTTGTAAGGATTTATGTTGTTACCAGGATATTGCTTTTTGTTATCTACCAAATTCTGTTATTAAATGTTTCAATTTCATATTTTATCAGTGCGAATCATCAACACTGTTGGCAGGGAAAAAGCCATAGCATTGTATCAAAATACTCAGAAAATTGAATCTGAAGGGGGAATGCTGATCATGGTAAAGTATTCTCTGTGCTATAATTTTATGTTTACATAAACTTTGTCTGTGATCGTTGGAGACTTTATACAAGATGTTACCTCATATTTTCTAGAATGGCTCACGAAGAAGATCTCCTGGGGGTGTGTTTTTCTTTTTGGTGAAGAATGATGATGAGATTTCTCACCATGAAAAGCAAATAATATTTGAGGAAGATAGCAAGACCTCTATGAAAGACTTGAAAAAGCAACGAAGGGCAGCCCGGCAGAAGAAACTTGAACAAGAAAGGAGGAAATTCACTGATGGTTTGTATTCTTAAGGTTTGATTGGTCTGCGGGAAAAATTCTGCAGCAACCGAAGACCTTTCATCATACTGTTTTTGCATCTTTCAAAACTTTTATAAAGCTGCCACAATAGTCATAAACTGAACTTCAATAGCTGTTGCACCTGTTGGCATTTTTGTGTAAATTTGAGTTCAATGTGTGTTTGTTTTATGTCAACAGATATTGCCCGGAATGCTGATTTACCAGGCCTTCTTACCAGAGCGGAACTAGTCGTGCAGCAAGGGACTGCAATAAACTGCAAGAACGGTGATGGAAGTGTGAGTAACCCTCCACCCTCACCAGCAACAGATAATAGGGGTGAGAGCTCAAATGATAGTCCTCCCCATCACATACAAATCCCTCTCTCAAATAGAAATGTAGCTGGATATGACGATGACTTCCTTGATTTACATGCGGATGATATGGATGAATTTTGATATGTTAAAATGTGTTCCAAACGTGTTCCCTGCATTTGTGATTAAGTCTACACATTTCAACAGCATGACAAATTTATATTTTTGGAGTAAACCTAACTGTTATTGTTATTAGTAAATAATTAGTAAATAAGATAAAT